AGCGTGCATTGGCACACCAAGTTTGCCTTGACCCGGCAGCCAGAGTGCGTTCCAGTTCCCCTCACTCTGGCTCGTGTTTCTCCTTGATGTAAAATGGTGCTTGGTTTAAACAGTCCCTTTGCTGTTTCAATCCTGCTACCAAGCACCATTTTACATCAAGGAGAAACACGAGCCAGAGTGAGGGGAACTGGAACGCACTCTGGCTGCCGAGTCAAGGCAAACTTGGTGTGCCAATGCACGCTCTGGCCTTACTGGCCATGGGACTTGGGACAGGTTGTGTCACCTTTTTTTTTTGAGACAGGGTCCCATTATGTTGCCCAGGCTGGTCTCAAATTCCCGGGCTCAAGCAATCCTCCTGCCTCAGCCTCCCAAGTAACAATCCTGCCAGCACCGCACCCAGCTCATATGGGGCCATCACCCACTTTTACTCTGGACAGTGCTTGGCACAGAGAATCCACAAAATAGGTGGTAGAAAAAAAACAAAAGAAAAAAAAAATAGATGCTAGTATCAGTATCATCTATTTTATTTCTTTTTATTATAATTCTTGCCACTGAAATAGCCACTATTTAGCTGAATCATTCAACAGACGAATGGAACCAGAAGCATCGACACACTCCAGAATTTGAGTGATCTAACTCTTGCTGCATTGCCCAGGAAAAATGGTGGCAGGAATGGTGACAGAGGGGAGGAGCATCAAGTGATATTGCTTCAGGTCTGAAAAGGCCACTGGTAAGATCATGCCCTGTAAGAATTTTCTAAAGTGGAAGAAAAACAAGCAAATACTACAGCAAATAACTTTATTTCTATTATCATTCCTTTTATTAATAAAAGAACCAAAGAAAATTTAGAAAACATGTAAAACACAAACAGCTGCAATTCAGGGGGTAAATGAAGAAATGACACAGCCTTTAAGTGGAACAGCTTCCAGAATGGTCTATGCTGCATCAGTGACTGCGGTTCTGTTCGAAGGGCAGGTTCCTCCAACCCAGCCCAGAAGCCCCAGGAATCTGCCTTTTTAAAACAATCCCTCTCACTAATACTCAAGGTCTTACCCTAACATCCAAGACTTGGTGACGTTTCCTCTCTTCGAAAATCCAGGCTGGAACACGACTAATCCTAAACGAAAACTCAAGAACAGCACACCAGATGCCACCTGTTGTTTGTCAGGATCTCGAACTTTGGGGGAAACACATGCCGCCGGCCGTGTTCTTTGCTCTCTGAGGGCACCTGTCTGCATTTGGAACGTGGTTTCACTGGTGTTTCGTCGGGCCTGGGCCTTATTCCCCACCTGAAGTCCCGCTCCTCTCTGTGTGACATCAGGCGGGGAATAAGTCCAAGAAGGTGGCGAGAGGCTCCTAAGCAATAGGCCGCGCTGGTTCCTGGCAGGCATCTCCAACAATACCCCAGAGGGCTGGCGACGCCGTGACGGCACCAAGACAGAGAGCGGGCAGAGGGGTGCCTTAAGTGATCAGCGCTCAGGGGAGCTGGCGGGCCTGGGGTGGCAGATAGCCTGGACACTGCTGGGGTGGAGACAGTCTTCCCTGCGCCCTTGTGTGCAGCGGCTGCTGGTGATGGAAGCACCACCACCTCGTTGCTCGCAGGGAAGGATTGGTATTGGGTCAGTGACTTCACTTGTCCCTCGTCTGACAGGGGGAGGGGACAGGGAATACATGTGGGCCTGCTGTGGGTCACCATCTCCAGGGCCACCAAGCCTTGGGTTCACTTGGGGCCGAGGCACTCCACGATGCCACTCCCCTTCATGCCATCAAAGAAGAAGAAGTTGTTGTGAGGAGGGTCCCTCTGCGACAGCGCCTGGGGAGAGAAATGAACAGAGGATTCAGCCCCCGTGTTGTGACGGGATAAGCGGTAAGCGGGGGGAGAATCGTCTAGACACAGGCAGGGCAGTGGTCCTCAACTGGAGTCGATTGTGCTCCCCAGGCCTACTTGGCAGTGTCTGGAGACAGTTTTGATTGTCCTCTCTCTTTCCTCTGTCCCTTCCCAGCTGTGTGTCCATGGGAGATCATCTCACTTCTCTGAACCTTACTTTCTCTGTGAGTAACCCGAGAATCACAACTGTATAATCCCGGGGATTAAGAGGAGCCACGTATCTCAAATACCTAAACCACGGCCAGTACAAAGTGCCAGCGTCACCACCGCGGAGCAAACAGCAGAAATAATTCTTCATGACTATTCAACTGAGAAAGGCAGCCGTTCATTTCAACACATCTTAGGCCTCAGCCTTTATCACTTGAGGGGACACATTTAATCGAGGGACACACACTGATGCAGAAGGCGGCTCTTCCCTGAGGACACGGTGCTGCCAGCTTTCCACAGGGGCCCGAGGGTGGGGTGCAGAGGGCCTGGGCGATGCCATTCAGCCATGGCAACAGTGATTATCTTGTGGGGTTACCACACAGAGCTTGGTGCTTGACCCGCAGGGGGTTGAAACTTCACTATAAGCCGCCATTTAAAGAGAATATCACCCAGCAAGGGGCCGGGGCAGGGCTACAGGTTCCCAGGAACACTGTCCCATCGTTCAGAAGGAAGGTGACCTCCCTGAGGAGGTCAGGAACAGGCTCCACACATGCTGAACTACTCCCCCTGGAATGGAACACCCCTCTCATCCCCCTTCCTCATCTGTAAATGGGGACAATTATTCCTGCCACGAGTGGTTATTCAGCCATTCATCCAGGGAAATTTTATTAAGCACCTACTGTGTGCCAGGTATTATGCTAGACATCAAAGATTCTGATAAGGTCTCTGGCCACATGGAGCTTGGATCAGACAGAAGTTTGCTGTCCTTGGCGTGTATATAAAACAGGCAAATGAAAAGCACCTGCCGGCACACAGTAAATTCCTAGTGAATGGAAGCTGCTGTTACCAGCACGTGCAGATACCGTGAACTCAGGCAGGTGGCAGGGCTCAACGCCCCACAGTTAGAACTCCTGGACCCCCAACTCAAGTTATAGGAGATGACGTACGTTTGAACATGGAGTTCAAACGTACTGGCATGACTGCTGCTTTCACTATCACCTCTGCTACTGTGGGCAGGGACACCTGCCATGGCTAGTGGGGATGGAAAAAAAGAAATACGATTTAAACCTAAGGAAGCATGACAGGACAGCAGATACGGGTATAAAATATGGTGTTCGGAAGGATGTAAGGAAGGTAGGAAGCAAAAGATGATCGCCCTCCAACACCCAGTGTGTGCTTTTTGTAGGCGCTTAGACGGTTCCTCAGGAGCAAAGGGTGAGTGTGGGGCCCGCAACTACAGGACCCTCCCGCCAGCTGGCTGAAGGCTGGAACTGTGCTGAGTAAGGGGGAGTGGCGGAGACGAGAGACCAGGGCACGGGGTGAACATGGGGCAAAAGGTAAAGCGCTTCCCAAGCAAGATGGGGTAGGAGGAGATTCCAAACACACCCAGCAACCAAGAATGCAGAGTACTTTGGCTATCCGGGATAAACAGAAACAAGACGCGGGGCAACAGCTGTCCCCAGCAGGCAGGAAGGAGGGGGCTGCACTAGGATGGGGATGTAGAGAAGCCACCACAAACAATGGAGTCAGGGCCACCTGCCCCGACCTCTAACTATTCCATCCTACATGAGAAATTCAGGGAGCAGCTTCTCAAGGGGAGGTACAAAAGTCAGGCTGAGGGTGCAAGGACAGTGGCCCTGGGGTCCACGCAGAGTCTCTGGCTGGGGCTGCCATTAAGGGGCAACACCTGAGGCACAACTGCCAAGTGGCGAGCAGCACGGGCCCAGAAACCAGACCACCCGGACCTACTAGCTTGGGCGGCGACTTCATCTCTCTGTACCCCAGTTCCTCCTTTATAAACTCGTAAAAAGTACACAGTGGGTATTAGAGGGCGATCATCTTTTGCTTCCTTTCTTACAGCCTTCCAAACACCATATTAAATATCCGTATCTGCTGTCCTGTCATGCTTCCTTAGGTTTAAATCATTTTTCTTTTTCTCCGTCCCCACTATCCATGGCAGGTGTCCCTGCCCACAGCAGCAGAGGTGATAGTGAAAGCAGCAGTCACTACAGCTCTGACCTCGCAGGGTTTCTGGGAGACGAAATAAGGTTATCCATGGAAAAAACACTGTCTTTGTGTGGCGCATCGTGGGCTTTCAATAAACGTTATCTATTATCACTGGCGGGAGTGGTGTCACCCTTGTAGGCCACGAAAATCTGCGTGTTCCCACTCCCCACTGCTGGCTTCTCCATCACGCACTCTCTGCTGCTGAGCGTGTCTACAGGCGGCCCCAGAATCCTTTCTAATGCAGTCCTCTGGGCAGCCACTACTGACTTCTCAGATTGGGCATATGAACCAGAATTTCCACATCACTCTGGGCTAAGCAGAACGTGTGGGCAAGGAAACAGGTATGGCCACTGTGTGCTTCTCTTCCCTCCACATCTCCTCAGTGCCCACGGAAAGAAAGGGACACGCCATTACTGCAAGTCCACTGAAGCAGTCAGGAGCCTACAAAGCAAATTTAACACCTTGGGCCAAATATCAAAGTCCCTAAAGAAAGTAAAATATATTTAGAGGTGTGCTATAGTTTGAGCAGCCCACATGTTCCACGAGACTCAGCTCGAGTCTGTGCTAGCTATTGGTGATATGGCCCAGTATGAGGTATTTCCCTTCTGAGAGACAGTAACACCTGCCTAACGCAGTCACGGGTCACCCTGCACGGAGCCTCGCGGGGCTTCTGCCACAGTGCATGTGCTCTGCGGGCATTGGCATTGGTTTTCTCCCCTCTCTACAAACACTGATGAGGTGGGCTCTGACGCCATGGTGATGGATGGAGAGAAACTGCGCAGAGGTTAAGAGCACAGGTTCTATTCCGGGCCTCAGTGTTTTTCTCTAAAATAGGGAACCCAATGGTACCCACTTCCTAGAGCTGTGAGAAGCAGGAGGCCTGGCCAACGCAATACACACTAGATAACCGCAGGTACACCCAGGGGATAGTAGAGAGCACCTTAAGAGCACTGTCCAGCTCGGAGGTAGCTCAGAGCAGGCGCTCGAAGGTCACTTGCTGAACAGCCACCTGGATGGGCTGGTGTGGAAAAGGGTCAGGCACGAAGCAAAGGTGAGTGGGGTCAGAGAAAGCAGGCTGCTCCCTAAGACAGCCCCGGTGCTCTCTGCTGGCACACGGACAAAGTCGGAGTGTGCTGGGCAGCTTTCTTCCGCTCCACAGTGACTTTTTACCTTCACAATTTCCTGTGCTAAAATCCCTCCAACCACCGCACACACCGGGGCCATCTCGGAGAAGCAGTACCTAAAAGAGAAGGAAGACAAGTGAAACGCAGCACCGCAGCACCGGGGGACAGGAGTGCAGACAGGACATCTGGGAAAGTTCAGCAGTGGGCTCTCCCGAAGAAAAACACCTTCCCAGGAGGGGTCCATTCACATAGCAGCGCTAATGCTGGCATCTAGGCGTGAAAATGAAACCTAAGTGGTTGGGAAAGACCTTTGAACTTTGACAAGCAGAATTCTTTTGCAATACTTTTCTAAGTTAAAGGAAAGACTATATCTGTGCTTCCTAAAAATAATGTCCTACAGACATCAGATGTTTTAGAGCCCTGGTCACATTCTCGCAATTCTCTTCTTACCCATAATGGGTGGTGTGTTCTATATGCTACTCCCAGACAAATGTCAGGGAGCAAGCCTGTGTTCGCATGTAAGGGGCATGGGAAGTCTGGGGCCCGAAATCAAAGCAGGAGGGCAGAAGTCTTCACAACCCACATAGAAACCAGCCCTTCCAGGCCAGGATGGGGCACTGACACCGTCATCACGCATCCCGGAGAGCAAAACACTTTCTTGTACCACCTCCCCGAGGGAGTGTGCTCTGCCAGTCCCAGTCCTGAACACAAAGGTGTATGTTAACTGAGTAAATGGGAACAGAGACAAGAGAGAGGGAAAGCCTCACTAAGGGACACTATCAGCAGAAGACCGTCTCCAATCCTCCCAGTGTGGCGTACATCCTTCTAGACGCTTAAAAAAGTGCGTGTATCTGAACAGATGTAATTTTAAACCCGAATAATACCAACTATTATTCCTTCTGTTCTATAACCTATTGAGGGATAGTTAAGCTGTTCAACACTGCAATCATTCATCTTGGCACAGGTGGCCAAATAATTCCTTACAGCAGAATTCTAAATATAGAGTGCTAGGTCTTGCTCTGTATTGCCAAGATGCCCTCCACAAAGGCTGTGTCCCCTCCGACTCCCACCAGCTGTATCTGAAGGTATCCGCCTCCTCACACCCTGGCCAGGACTACGGCACTCCCATTCTGTTCAGTCACACAGGTTAACTTTTCTTCCTGCTCATTGAGGTCCACTACAGAGCTCTAAAATATTCGGAGAACTACAGCAAAGAAAAAACTCATCACCCATAACTCTACTACTCAAAGATAATCAAATATGGGGATATTTTTCCTTTTCTGTTTTTAATTTTAGAGACAGTGTGTCTCACTATGTTGTCCAGGCTGGCCTTGAACTCCTGGGATCCTCCCGCCTCAACCTCCTAAGTAGCTGGAACTATAGGTGCCTGATACCATGCCCAGCTTTCTTTTCTGTTTTTAAAAAATAGACTTATCTTCCGTGTAAGCATACCACACAATTTAATATTCTGCTCTTTTCTTCTCAAAATAGCATATCACCTCAGCAAAACACTAGTAAACCAAACCGGTAACATATATAAAGGATTATATACCATGACTATGTGGGATTTGTGCCAGAAATGCAAGGTTTAACATCTTAAAAAAAAAAAAAAATCAATGTAGTACATGTCATATTAATTGAATAAAGATCAAAACCACATTTAACAGGCAGGATGCAGTGGCTCATACCTATAATCCTAGCACTCTGGGAGTCCCAGGTTGGAGGACTGCTTGAGCTCGGGAGTTCGAGACCAGCCTGAGCAAGAGTGAGACCCCGTCTCTACGAAAAATAGTATTAAGAAAAAAAAAAGCTGGATATGGTGACATGTACGTGTAGTCCAAACTATCCAAACTATTTGGGAGGCTGAGGCAGGAAGATCGCTTGAGCCCAGGAGTTTGAGGTTATAGTGAACTATGATGATGCTACTGCACTCTAGCCTGGCAACCCGGGAGACTGAGAGAGACTCTGTCTCCAAACCAACCAAACAAACAAACCAAAAAACCCCAACTTACATTATACTTAACAGTAAAAGACTGACAGCTTTCCCCCTAAGATGAGGAATAAGAAAGGATGTCTGCTATTACCACTGATATTCAAGATTGCATTGGAGGTTGAGATGAAGGCAATTAAGAAGGAAAAAGAAATAAGACATCCAGATGGGAAAAGAAGAAGTAACGCGTATTCTCAGAGGACATGATCCAGTGCATAGAAAATCCTAAGTAATACACAGAAAAACTACAAAATGAGTTCAGTAAGGTCGCAGGATTCAAGATCAATATACAAAAATCAACTATATTTCTACTAGCAATAAATATTCTGAAAATGAAATTAAGAAAACAACTCCACCATTTACGATAGCATCCAAAAGAATATTTAGGAAGAAATTTAACAAAGAAAGCATAAAATTTATATTCTGAAGCCTACAAAACATTGTTAAAAGAAATTATAGAAGACCTAAATAAATGGAAAGATATCCCATGTTCATGGACTGGAAGACTTAACATTGTTAAGATGGCAATACTCCCCAAATTAATCTACATATGAAACATAAGCCCTATCGAAATTACAGCTGCTTTTGCTGTAGAAAAGGAAAAACTCACGCTAAAATTCAGATGGGACTGGGCACAGTATCACATACCTGTAGTCCCAGCTACTTAGGAGGCTGAGGTGGGAGGATCACTTGAGCTCTAAAGCTCAAGACAAGCCTGGGCAACATAACAAGACCTTGTCTCTTAAAACAAAAAAAAAATTTCAGATGGGAATGCAAGAAACCCAGAACAGTCAAAACAATCTTGGAAAAAAAAGAGCAAATGGTTAGGAGAACTCATACTTCCAGATTTCAAAGCTTACTACACAAAGTTACAGTAATCAAGACAGGATCATATTGACATAAGGACAGAAATACAGATCAATGGAATAAACCTGCGTCCAGAAATAAAGCTTTACATATATGATCAATGGACTTTTGACAATGGTGCCAAGACCATTCAATGGGGAAAGAAAATTTTTTCAACAAATGGTGCTGCGATCTTGACACGCAAAAGAATTAAGTTGGACCCTTACTTTCATATCATGTACAAACATTATCTCAAAGTGAATCAGAGGTCTAAAATATAAGGGCTAAAGCATGAAACTCTTAGAAAAAAAAATAGAGGAGTAAATCTTCATGATCTTGGTGAATTAGGTAATAGTTTCTTAGATATGACAGTAAAGGTACATGTGAAAAAAAGAAAAAATAGAGAAATTATATTACATAAAAATTAAAAACTTGTATTTCAAAGGATACCATCAAGAAAATGAAAAGACAAATCCACAGAATGGGAGAAGATATTTGCAAATCATGTATCAGATAAGGGACTTGTATACAGAGTATACAGAGAACTCTTACAATTTAACGATAAAAAGATAACTCAATTTTAAAATGGGCAAATGATCTCAATAGACATTTCTCCAAAGAAGATATACAAATTAACAATAAGCACAGAAAAAGATGGTCTACATCATTAGTCATTAGGGAAATGCAATTCAAAACCACAATAAGAAAAAAAAAAAAACCACAATAAGATACAATTTAACACCCCCAAAGGCTAAAATAAAAGACAGACAATAATGCTTGCTGGCAAGGATGTGGAGAACCTTCATACACTGCTGCTAAGATTGTAAAGTAGTGTGGCCACTGTGGAAAACGGTTTGGTCATTCCTCAAAATATTAAACAGTGTTACCATATGATTCAGCATCATACACCCTAGTGAATATGAAAACTTATGCTCATACAAGAACACATGAATGTTTATAGTGGCCTGAGTCGTAACTGCCAAAAACAATCCAAGTGTCCTTCATCTGGCAAACAGACAAACTGTGGTATATCCATACATAAAATACTACTGGGTAATAAAAAGGAACGAGCTATTAATTTATACCACAACATGAATGAATCTCAAATGCATTAAGCTAAGTGAAAAAGCCAGACTCAAAAGACTCTATGATACCGTTTATATCACGTTATGAAAAAGGCAGAACTACAGGGATAGACTAGATCAGTGGCTGCAAGCAGCAAGGGGGCCGACCAAAGCAAGGCATCGTGAGAGAATTTTGTGGCATGATCAAAGCGATCTGTATCTTGATTGTGGTAGTGATTACACTACTCTATACCTTTAAATAAATTCGCAGAACTGAATACCCCCAACAAACACCTCAGAATTGTGTATCGAAAAGGAATAAATTTTACTACATGTAAATTTTTTAAAAACACACCATAATGTAAAAAGAATGAATTTTACTGTACCTGAGTCTAAATAATAAAAATCGAATAGGCAAAACAAACAAATGTCACCACAAGAAACAATTAGACAAATCCAGAATAGGGATATTTTGTAAGACAACTTGCCTGGACTCCTAAAAAACAAAAACAAAACCAGTTAACCGTTCTAGATCAGGAGTTGGAAAACTTTCTCTGTAAAGAACCAGATAATAAATATTTTCAGCTTTATAGGCCATATGGTCTCTGTTACAACTATTTAACTCTGCTATAGCACAAAAGCTGTCACAGATAATATGTAAACGAGTAAGTGTGCCAATAAAACTTTATTTACAAAAACAGGTGGCAAGACAGTTTGCCAACCGTTATCCTAGATTAAAAGGGATACAAGACGTAAATGCAACAGATGAGCTTTGATGTATATTTTTAAGTACCATGTCATCGTGATGTCACAACCCTCACAAAACAAAAAGCAAAATGTTAATTGAAGCCAGCTGAGCAGATAATAGGTGTTCACTACTGTACCATTCTTTGAATTTTTCTGTTTGCCTTTTTTATAATAAACATCATTTTAAGCCCTATATAATACTGCATTGTTCTATATCTTTATGCCTTTAATGCATTTCTAATCTCTCATTCTTATAAATAACATGATAATGAGTATCTTTTGTACAGAAATGTTTGCTCATATTATTTGACGTTAATTCTTCAGGGTATATTCTCATTACCAATGAGTAAAATTAGTAGGCCAGAGAACATTTTAAAGACTCTTCACATATTTCCAAACTGCTTCCTAAAAAGGTAATACCTTTTTCAATCACCTTTATTAACAATGAATATTATGAGTTTTTTTTT